ATAAATCCTAATTTTGGGCATCGAACAATCAAGAGCATTGTATAAATGATTTACTATGGCCATGATGACTACTCTTAAAGCATCAACTCGGCTACAACATTCCAGTTATCACCGTCAATGTAGCTTTTGTCCTCGATACCCACTACTATAAAATACCATGAAACCGCATGTCCATACAAATGTCAACAGGTTTCGCTCGAATTTAAACCATGAATTAGTTTTGTAGGATAGACGTATCTCAAATAATGTTTCGTCATTCTTCTGAGAACCGGTCGTCGTCGAGATCAGTTTTGAGAGCTTGCCGTGATAAACCATACAGCACGTTAGGTGTTTCGAGTTTTCAACACGCCCTCTCCTCTCGCATACCTGGCGATCTGGCCGCAGCAACAACGGTCCCATTGTTTTACCACCGAGATCAATTTAGAGGTTTTGAATGTTTTACTAAACTGAAAGTTATTATTTTCTTTGGTAAAATAATACGTGACGTAACAATAGTGTTCGAGTACAAACATTTTGAGTATTTTGTTATGTACACAAACGTGCCTAAGAGGTCAATTGCTATTGAGGCTATTGACATCTATATCTTACTAATATGGATTCTATAATGCATTACATTTATTTTGTACTGTAATTAATCCCAAGGTCCATATTGATGATGATGATAAATTTCGATTTTTTTCTATTCGAATCAACTGCTCGAAGTGAATGACTCCAAAAAGCTGCAGTTAATGATTATGCCTTCAATACGCCAATTCAATACATTTTACGTCTTGTCTCTTAATTTGGAGGATTACGTAGGTTGAAATTTGAGACCAATAAAAAATAACGGTACCATTTGTACGTACATAACGTTTCGTATTTTTCGATTATATTAGAAACCTGCGCGTGTCTCGCTCTCATATCGTTTTCGCTGCAGCTATCAAGCAGCAAAAGTATATTTTAACAGCTCGACCGTAGCGTTGCATAACCACCGACAACAAATCATGCAGAAACGCTTGCCAAAATTCACTCAACTACCTTCTAGTATCTGTATGGGTAAAAATTGTACCAGGCATATGTTGCAATAAGCCTTAATCAATATTGTAGACGGAACGGATGAAACCCATAATAAAGTGACCTTATACTTCTACCTAAGCAGCATTGCATTTACAAGTAGGTAAGTCTGCTACAGTGCTTATCGGCCAAGAACACAAAAAAAAATTGTGGACTAGTTTCCTATTTATATAAATTTCCAAAAATCCTTAAACTAGTATATTAATAGCATGCTCAGGTAGCCATATTTACGGAGAGAAACTACAACAAGAGTTCCAAACGACTTTATAGTGGTTTGTCAGTATGAATGCATGCTGACAAGGTCAGCTGCTTCCTACAAGTAGCAAACTTAGGGCACGTAGGTAGTTATGTAGGTATGCAGGTAAATTATTAGGTACATAACACAGATGATATAAAACAAAAAAAACCTGTAACGTAAAGCATGAGCACTATTTCATATCGTAAACAAACGTATATTTCGTAACTCTTTCAGGTCACTGTATTAGATTTACATCCATTGAAGGTCTATACCAAATAATGTGTTGTCAAATGGCCTCTGTGTTGTGAAATTCGATCGCCTTGATATGATCTAGTCTGACAAGTAGGTAGATACCTACATACGGAGGCAACGCAAAACGCTGCCGCAGCTAATGCTTACCTCCACTTAGTATGGATACATTGTCGCGAAAGTGGTTCTTGTTCAGGTAGCACCATACATTCCACAACCAAATGATCATTAGCGCAAAAACAAGAGGTGGTTTCAACATCACCTATCTCAACATTCTCGAACAGGCTTTATTGCAAATATCTACAATGGTAATAGCGATATACCCGATAGGTAAGTAATTTAGTTATTCTAATATGAAGTGAACATTGCTTAGGGAGGTCGATTTGCATTTTATATTTACCTATAAAAATGAAGTTTGATATCTAATTTTTTTTTTTCAGAATAGATTATCATGGAATATCCCTATACACCCTATGTAAGGGTACCCAGGTACCAAGTTCTTTTTTTTTAAATCTTTATTTATTTAGAGGCTTTTATTACAAAATAATATGTTAGCCCCATCGTGGCTAGGGACCAAGTTATTCATATTAAAGATTAAATTGTGAATGTTGTTTTATTGCCTTAGGTATATACATGTTTTGTTTTTATCACATTCAAAATGTTTGATTATTTTCATGTGCTTTGAATAGGTATCATGAACAGCAAAGGCAACCCAATGCATTTACAGCTGCACACAATGTAGGTATTTTTTTTAAAGAAACCCTCAAATCTTTCATTCTATTTCTATGTATACCTATTATAAGTGTGTTACCCAAAATGCCTAGAATAAATAATGGTATCATGTTCAAAAGTATACCTACAATAATAAATCTATCAATATTTTTTCATTTTAAACAGAATTTTAGGTACGGAATGCATGATTAGTTTGATCACAGAGAAGAAAAAAAAAATCCAACTATCAAAACATAGGCCCAATGAGGAAATACAGGTATGTAAATATGTATGTTCACAATAAATCTATACTAATATTATAAAGCTGAAGAGTTTGTTTGTTTGTTTGAACGCGCTAATCTCAGGAACTACTGGTCCGATTTGAAAAATTCTTTCAGTGTTAGATAGCCCATTTATGGAGGAAGGCTATGGGCTATATATCATCACGCTAAGAGCAATAGGAGAGGAGCACCAATGAAGAATGTTTCAAAAACTGAGAAAATTTATTACTATTGAGAGACGCAGACGAAGTTGCGCGGGTCAGCTAGTATGTAATACATTTACTACTTCTATCCCAAGTTTTAAGGAATTATCTATGTTTCAATGTTGAAGGTTTTAAGGAATTAGACATTTTAGAAATTTCGAAACATTCATAAATTCCTTTACCTACCTTCTTCTAATCTCTTTGCTATTTTTTGTGCTTAGTAAAATTTGTTTTAAAGTTATTACACTTATAAATACAATCAATACACTTCACTGTTCATTTATAATTCTAGACTCTGAATATAGAATATTTTGTCATATTTTCTGAAAAATAACTCACTCAATCTCTGAAGATAAGACTTAAAGTAGTTTTATGTGATAAGCACTAAGAAAGTGATGCTAGTGCTAAAGTACCCTAAAATAAATGTTGTAGTAAACACATCAACACTAACCTACCTTATATGAGCTAATATGCTTAATGTGTTATTGTTTAAATTTATTTGAGATAGGTACAAAGTTTCCTCAATATTTCTTTGCTGTGGCCTTATGGAGAGCCTTGGAACCAGACATCCAGCATGAGGTGATTAGGAAAGGGTTTGCCAGTACTGAATGTCGAGGATAGTGCTTAATTTATTATCTTAGTTGTGATGTATGATAATTTTGTCAAGTTGAATCTAGTGTGTTATTATCTTAATACTTAGTTTTATTAGTAAAATATAGTAGGTATATACATAGTATCTCCATACTAGGCAGGTACATACATTTTGTAATATATATACATATTTCTTTTCTATTTAACACTGTGGTCTTATTCTGGTAGATATTATTCTAAACATTTAATACCTACATATAATTAAATATTGATTCAGTTATGTTGTTCTGTACTAGTAACTAAAATGTGCAGTTCATTTTTTTTTTACTAGTTATATCACCACATGTAGTTTAGGACTATGGGTACAGAGAGGTCAATGATACCATAGGTGATAAAAAAATATAAATGAGTAAAGTAACTAATATGTACCATCATCTCAAGTAAACAAGCATGGTTATAAGTATGTGGGTATGGCCCAAGTTTAGACTATACTAAACTTTTCACATATAATTCAAATGATAACACACAAATACAATATCATGAGTCATGAGAATTTAAGACTAAAAAGGTTTAACTACAATACAAAAGTCAGTATTCAATTAACTTAATCAGGACTAAAATGAAATGATTCTTATGGGCAGATTGTTTTCCTTAAAGCTAATATTATGTGACCTCTTTGGCATGGTCCAATACTCTTGAGTTTTTTCTAGGATGCTTAAACAAAAATTTGGTTGAGCACTCGCCAAAATAAGTTTTCAGATTATAAGTTTCGGCGTTTTTATTTAAATATACAGTTGGCTTTTTTACATCTATTTCTTAATTACATTAATGCCACCCAGACTATTACTAGATGTTCACACAGGCACTATGTTCGTAACTACAACGGTTTTACCCATCCAGGAACTTCCGAAGGATGTATGGTGTTTACGTACTTAAATACTACAAAGCACTCTCAACGAACGCAGCCTATATCTGCATCTAGTTAATTAAAGATACCTTAAAAACACTTGTAGCTTCCTTCTATGGAACCGATTTTTTAGTAAGGCTTGATACAATGTTTTTAAGTTTATGAATAATATGAGCAACGTAAACAACTTATTACAGCTATATTTTGACCATTAAGCGGACATCACCCATAGATATTTTTAATCAACTTACCTGTCCAGTAGCTTTCTTATACCGGTGTGTCGCCTCTCGCACGAGGTCCCTGACCAGCAGGTCGCCAGCGCCACAGGGCACCAGCACCCGCACAGACCCAAAACAAACCGTCACCTTCATTTCGGCACCGCGCGGTATGAATCACCAAAATAGCGCCACAAAAATCACTAGACGTCGTATGTAATATCCAATAGCTAACATATCAGTTTGTCTACAAACTAATAGGAGCATTACACTATCTGATACACATGGCAAATAGCCCTGTGTCGAACCCGCTCACTAAGCACCCGCGATACAAAAAGAACAAAAACACTAGGTCTTTCGTGTGTTTTCATAGTGCAACCGAAGTGTCACGTCGTACCAGCGGTCCTACACACTATGCACTTTTATTAAGGTTAGATTTACACATCAAACACTTGATTCACATTCAACTTCGAACACATATCGATAAGATTACGCAAAACACGGGCGCACAGAGCGCGCACTCAAACGGCAGCAACGGTCGTGGCAAGAAACATGAATAAGAATTTGAAGTTGTTAGTAGCGGCGCGGGGCAGGGCGGCGGGGGTCAGCGCGACCGGTTCCCGCGTGCAGCCAATCGGTGGCGGCGTCGCGGCCCGCAGCTGTGCGCCTGTGGTGGTGGCCGCCGCGCTGCGCCGTGCCGCGTCATACCTGCCTCGCTCCGGTTTGTATTTTGTGCGCATACCGACTATTACACATTATTTGAATGAAACTGTTTTTGATTACGGCATAACTGAGTCACTAAGTTGCGAGAAGTGCGAAACTGGTAGGTAATGTTCAGGCTACCTATTAAGAATAAATTGCATACCTACTTTTTAAACCAAAACATACTACAATAGTTACTCGGTATTCATAGTGAATACAAGTCACACTTTCGTACAAAAACATGTCGCACTCAATCATAACTTGATGCTGATGTCATGCAATACAGTAACTTGTAAGTATGTAGATAGTATCTACCTTCATAAGAAGTAGGTATTTTAATCGATATCACCATGCCAACCTTTACAGATAACAATCAACAAGATGGCATGGTAACGATAATTTGCAGGCAAAACTTACCTTACTTAGTTATAGTATCAGTAATGATATACTATGTTCTGAAATTATACATGGGACAAAATCACAGTGAACTATGATTTATCATTCGATTTTTGCGTATATTGCGATTTATAATAAAATAGTTACTAGATTGACATCGTCTGAAAACAGCGTATTGGCAACAACGCGTAAGTATTCGTGAGTAAGTAGTAACCCCAGCCTATGTACGACAAAAACGAATGATTAATCACTGTTCATTCACAGTTCACTGTGATTTTGTCCAATCTATAGTTCTGATATTGTTTTATTAAACAAACCCATATAGGAGGTATAACGTTCAAGAGGTGTGTATGTATAAACGAGCACCTTCTAAGCAACGAAAAAATAAATAGATCTCGTCCCTCATAATAGTTTTTTTTTATTTGCTACAAAGTTTCTTGTTCTTCAAATTATAAAAAAAAACACGTGGTCGAAAAAAAACGTAGCTGTCGGTTATAACAATACGACTTGTGGCTCCGTTCAAGGCGAAGGGCATTAGTATGCTTAGCACACGTACAACCGACACTGTGTACCTGACCGGCAAACCTATGTGATATAACAATGTTAACCGAAAAAATGGAGGCTATACTTAGGTACACACAACACAAGCAGTTTTCCCCTTTACTTTATTTTTTTTCATAAAATAAATTTAATAAATTTGACCAGTAAATTTCAAGTACCTACTCATTTATAGTATGAACTTAGTATTCACAGCAAGTTCCTCTCGTAGTCCTCACAGTATACGCCAACGGAGAGACATTTGGTGTATGCTACATTTATACATTTCAACAACATCAAAGAAATTAAAAAGATAGGAAGTTAATATCTGTAAACTCTTACTTACTGCAACAACTAGTTTACATGCATTTCTTTATATATATAATTCTTCTGTGAGTGTGTATGTCACTGAACTTCTCTCAAACGACTGGACCGATTTTGATGAAATTTTTTGTGTGTGTTCAAGGGGATCTGGGAATGGTTTAGATTCACAATTTTGTCCGCTGGACAATGTTTTTTTAATTAATTTTTAATTTATTAGTAGTTGTTGATTTTGGAATGTTTTACATTGGATCAGACAGACGGCGCTACCATCGCAGTGTCAAATTTGACAGGACAACGTCTGTCGGGTCCGCTAGTATGTATATAAAATGTAAGAATACCTATGGATATTATTTGCTCTGTGGTTCTCTTTTTCAAAATCGAAATTTACTCTCATCGATAATCGCGATAGAATTCTCAGTAAAAGTAAAAAAAATCACTATATAGGCAAATGAGTAAAACTTCAGATTCCGGTAATGTAAACCACTTTTAATTCATAATAAGTAATTAATATTGCTTAGGTAATTGAATAAAAATAAATAAAATACACAATACACTTGCTACCTAAGGCGTAATTCAAGTTCCCTATATAAATTATATGTGACATAATAATTGTTCTATGAAATATTTGTTTTTATGTAGTTTTGCATTTGAGCTGTTTTCTATTCACATTAAAGCTTATGAAAACATTTTTTTTTATTACATGAGTGCTCAGAAAGTTACAAAAACTAAAAATGATTTGCGGAGTTGGGGTAGTTATTAAAATAGTTTTAGAGTTTCATGACAGGGATTAAAGTTTTCAAAGCCAAAGACACCTACTGACAGATGCCAATAACCAAAAATGTCCTTTGCTAAGCCATGTGCTTCTTAGCTCATTTAATTTGAATAGAGAAGTATCAGATTAATTTTTACTTTTTTAGTGGAAGATTTCATTAATCATAAGAAGTACTTCAATTTGACGTTTGTTATCACTACATATTTAAATTTAAATCAGTCCTTAAACAAATTTCGAAAAAATTGGCTAAGCTGACACCGGTATTACGAGGTGCAATTGAATCTTTACATTAAGCATTAGTGTAGAATTTTCTGCATTGGATAAGTATAGAGCATCAATGTGAATACCACAGCAAAACAAATTATATAATTTCTTTCTAATCACTTATAATTCGGCAGTCAAATACATGTAGGAAGGAGGTGCTATTAGAATAATGCGGTAATTTCTCAATGAGTATAATAAAAACATTTAAATATATATATATATATATCATTTACTACTCTCCTACATACACATAAGGTCGGATCTATTTCATCAATTAGAAAATTTATTTAATTTGTATACAAACGAGATGTATTAGTAAACTTTTATATAAAAAAAAAACATAACATAATTCAAGCGTCAAACAAATATGTAAATCATTTTCAATATAAGCATATACATAAAATAGTTTGGCACTATGTGTACATCCATCAACATGAAAACATTAATTCGAAATATGAGAATAAAAATAGCAAAACAAGAGGACTCCTTCCAAAAATATCTTTACAGCGTGGTATTGTTAGTGGAATAGCACTTGACAGGTGATTAACAATACATATTTACATAGATTAACAATCTCTAGATCTCACTGGAGCACCCACTTCGTGCTTACCTATGTACAAGTCTCAAACAACAGCATATTTCTCAATCCACGATAAAGCTTTCTTAACTAAACCTTAAGCGGTATAGAATATCAAAATTGGATTTCGTAAACATATTTCACTTTAAAACATAAAAAAAAACAAATGTAATAAAATAAGTACCAATATTATCTGTACTTTTAAGACGTAAATCAACTTTCAAATGCAATCAACATCAAGATTTTGACTTTAGGTTAAGTACACAATTAACCAAGTAACGTTGTAATGCTCAAAATGAGCTAGCTATCAGAGGTGACATGTGACTTAAGTGATAAATATATGCTTTTAAATCGCTATCTGTACTGTATGTTTTTATATTACAAATAACGACTATTGCAAGAAATTGACCCATATAGACGTATGTTACAATTAAATAATAAAAATAATTGATATTTGTTAATACAGAGAATATTCTACAACAAATATTCACTAGTGGTGTTATGTATTGGTTGTACTTTTAAGTTTCACGGCTGTTTACTTATGAACTACTACTTGATATTACTTCACCTCTTGTAAAGGACTTCTTTAAGGATCTTGAAAGTGGAAAAAATAGGTAGTCACAATGGCACAATATACTTTATGAAAAAGATCAACACTTGAGAAATCATGAATGACTAGATTACAGAAAAAACTGTCATTATATATATATAGAAAAATGTTAATGAAAGTTGACAGAATACTACAATTTTCTGTTTTAATGTACATAAATGTTTCATGTGTAAGGCAGACAAAATAATACTACATAGCATAATCGTCAGATCGTGGTAACAGCGTTTACTCTAAAGATACTTTGAAATGCATTATATTGACGTAATTACGTAATTACGAAGTTAGTTCACACCACTTTACTTAGTCTAATGTCTCAAAAAACATGGAGACCAATTAGACTTCATCGCTTGGGGACCAGCCCTTACTCTAGAACACTGACATTAATAGAGATTGGTCGCTCATATTCGAATTCCTATACCGTTATCACAAGACAAACCAATAATAATTCTAAGTCAGAGCACCTTATAATTGTAGAGATCATCGCATACTCCTACAGATGATGCGTCGCGCCATCACATGGCACATTCAGCTGTACATGAATATCATACAGTGTAACTTTAATAGGTACATATTGACACAATTTACAAAGTACAAAATCATCAAAGTACAGGCACGTTAGCAACATTGATACAATTAAATGACCGCATCTGCGAAAACGATGCCTTTTCTTACAAAAAACAATGAATCCATAAACAAACAGAAAGCGAGAAAATTACACTTTGAGTATTCGCTTGTTATTAGAGAGCCAAATTAACCGTTTCTCCAATAAACGTTCCGCCCTAAACAATCTAAACATTGAGAGTTATTGTCAGGATCGTTCAATTAAGAGATGTTTACTATCACAATTGACCAAAAGGCAGCACACGAGGAATAATTAATAGAAACGTAGGTACACAGTCGATTTACAAAGTCGAAACTTATCACTCTCATATCACATGGTATCACTACACATCACTTTCGCCGTCGGTGACGTGCGCTGGTTGTCCGAAGTTCCTCGTGATAGACTCACTCACAGTGCGAATATTCGCTAGGTACCTGTGAGCGGGCTCGTCGGAATCGTAGATGGCGCTGAGGGATTCGAGCGAGACTAGAGCTTCAGAGTCGAGTAAGCGAGAGGAGGCCCGGGACGAGACGTCATCATCACGATCGAAGTAGCACGAGTTGACGTCACTAAGTGCCGCTTCGGCATCCGTGAGTCCCGCCTCGTTGAGCATTGACACATTTTCTAACGCGGGGTCGTCCGTTGTATATCCAGTGCTCTCTGGCTGGCCTCCCTCACCATCCCCTTCTCCCTCCGAGCAAGATGAACTCCATTCAGACTGACTCTCTCCGTAGAGACCCATTTCTCTATGATTAGAAGTGGTCACCTAGAATTATAATTATTTTAAAATTACATTGGAACAATTAAATAATAACATGCATAATGTGAGAACACCCAAATACTCCGAAATATTTTATTCTGAATTTCGATGTTCTGATTTTCAAAAGTCTGTATTTCATAATACCTAAGAATTATAATGTTTATTATTAAAATTCACGAATTTATTTTGCCGAAAGTTTTAAATGCGATTTGTTTGTTTTCGATTTGTATCCGTTCGGAGAATCAAATGCTCCATGGGTTCTCGGTCAGAAAAACGAAATTCCGAGTTTCATTACTTCGAATAAACTGCTAAAATTAGGATTCTGATTGAGTTACTATAATATTCAGTTACGCATATTTATTCAAAAGCTATAAGTGACATTTAATGTGGTATTATTAATAATATTCTACCACAAACTAAGCAGAGCTTGTACTATACTATATCCTATATATTTTTTGTAAATACATCCATATTGTACATAGAAACACCCAGACCAAATCAAACATTAAATGTTCATGCTCACAAATGTTTCACTTGAGCAGGAATCAATATTACATTTGTGTATTCATATATTAATATTGAAATTGTTGAATTATAAAAATAGGATAAATGATCAAGTTATATTAGGAATTTTGAATCATTCGGAACTATGAAAATCTGTATTTTGAAATTCGTATTTGTGTCTGACGGAATAAGGTTTGTCGTATTTGTGTTGTGTACCCGCATAATGTGGCTTGTTTTGATTATGTTGCAATATGGCTTACCCGGTGATTTAGTCTCTCCTGGACCTCCTTATCCTTCTCTCTGACAATTACTGGTTCTACTTTTCTTTCACTAGGCGGGCTACAAAAAAAACAGTCATAAACGTTAATATTAATTAAGACAGTTTTATGCAGCTTCTGCAAACTAACCGAGTGTTACTCTGACTACAAGTGTTGCTGCTTCTGCTATTCGAAGCTGGATTTACGATATACATAAGCGAAACCAATATCGTTTAATAAAATGAATTCTAAACACGACTTGAGTGTAACCCTTTTAGTTTTATGAATCGATTGCGTTCTCTGATAATTGCTAGAAAGTAAACCTCTTTTAAAATCATCGTAATTCAAGTTTTAGAGATATTTTCAAGAACCATCAACCATTTGTAATCTTGAATATTGAAACGAACCCAACTAAAATAATGTTGGATTTGCGGGCGTAGGTAGGTTTCTAATTTTTTACTTTACCGGTAACTCTCCTGTCCCATGTGTATGTCTATGTCGTGTCTTAACTATGGGAACCATTATGAACATAACTTGGGAACCATTTAGGTTCAGAAATGAAATATTATTAAAATAAGTACCTGTTTCGACGTCTTTCATGGACCGGCGACGGGAGCTGCACAACAACGTCAGTGGGTAAAACGCCCGGGAACTCAGCCTGTGCCCGACCCGGACTGGCCGCTTCATTTCGAGCTACTTGAGTAATAGCTGCCAAGCCCACGGCGTGAAGAGGACTACTGTTGTTATTATTGCAGTTACGCATTGGTTCAAGTGAAGGATTCCCGCCCCTAAATAAAGGAGAATAAATATTGTGCAGTTTTACTGATTATATGGCAAAAATTCAAAATTTCCAAAATAACCTTACCTAAGCTCAAGTTTTAATTCTTTTCGTTCAGTTTTAGGAGGATTCATTTTGATGAAATTCTTGTCGTCCAGTAATCGCTGAATTTCTCTCTCGAACGGTGGCACACATGCTACATCGGACGGACTTCGCTTAGCAAACGGCTCCCGAGAATCATGGTTAAGATGCTTTAGATTTGTTGGTCGACTGCCTGAACTAGAGAACGAACTTGTTCGTTGCCCAAGTCGACCGGCTACATCTTTCTTATCAGTTTGACAGCAGCCGTCCCGTTTCGCGGACGCTTGTAACATGTTTATAATACTCCTTTGCAACTTCTCCTCTTCCTTTTGGAATTCGTCGTTTTCTTCAAGGAATTTGTCCTCTAGAGACGGTTTTCTTACCATCTTGTGTTTCGCATAAATCTCACTAACATGATTAACGATCGGCTTTCCAGGTCGCACTGGGGGGTAATCGTAGGCGGGGCTTGAATTAGTGCGTGGAGGTCGAGAAGGCGGCAACCATTGCGATGGTCGAGGTGGTGACGGTGAAGCGTCTGTAGTTCGAGAATAGCTTTCATCGGAGGAGCTAAGGCTAGGTGATCGTGTAAGCGAACTGAGTTCATCGGCAGAAGAATGAACGCGCGGGCTTCTCGCCAAAGGCAAGCTTTCACTTGAACGCGGTCGCGGTAAGCGGGTAGGGGCGCGACGTTTGTGTGCCGCCACGGGTCGCTGTTCCTGCGGGCGTGGCCAGGGTGGCACTAATGCTCGCGGCGGTGGCCACCGCGGATTTCCCCCAACACCGTGAGGTGGCGGTGGTGGAGGATTATCATCTGTGTCTTTGTTTCGTCTTCCTTTACTACCTTTGTTATTGCCGTTACTTTGGTGTCCATTTGACGGTAACAAAGGTTCGTTTTCGGCAGCGACAGACGATTCTCTTACAGGAGGTAGTCTCGAAGGTTGTGCTGCCGCTCTCCTTGCGGAATTTTGTAACATTGCAAGTGGCGTCGCCACCCCGCCATAAGCAGTGGGAGGATTAGATGTTTGACCGTTAGATGAATTTGAAACCGATCCGTTGGCAGGAGCTCTGTCTGTGAGGAAGTACGTGGTCATTTCACCCTTCCCTTTAACTTTTACCTTCCCTCTACATACAAATTGATAGGGCAAATCCTTCAGGACCTGATAAACTTCTTCAGTGACTTGAGTATGGTTCGGTAGTCCCGTAGAATCCATGCGAGATGCTACATTAACTGTGTTGCCCCAAATGTCATATTGTGGTTTCCGGGCACCGATCACACCAGCAACTACTGGACCCAGATTAATACCTGCAAGAGAATTAAATAAATCCGCTCAAAAGTTATCTTATTTTAAAATAAATTTCTATATTTAATAATGTTAACTTACCAACTCGTAACATGAAGTTATTATACGAGTTATCATTGATGTCCTTCAATTTATCCCTCATTGCGAATACGAATTCAACCAATGTCGCCATATGTTTACGAGTGCTCGGTTCATCGGTCATCTTTCTGTCAGGTATCAAACCAACTGCAGCCATATACGTAGAACCAACTGTCTTAATTTTATCTATGGCACCAAAACGATCTTCACCCAAAAGCTGTAAGAAAGCAAAGTGTAAATGAATTAACTATCAATAGTTTAACTTCGATATTAGTTCGTTGAAATAAAAGATAAGTGAAGACTTTACTAAGTAACAAATATTAATAATAATCAAAATAACTTGATGCATCTTAGACTGTCTGGTCCCAAATTATGCTGATCTTGTATTATATACTCGTAGTGACGACGCTACAATAGGCATACTATAATTTCTAAATGCATATATTATGAATAAACACCTTGACACAGAACAAATGCTCATAGTGTAAATCGAGCCCATGACCGACCAACAGGATTGTTTTAAATTTTTTCGAACCTTCATTCAATGAACGAAAAATTCTGAAAAATAATGTAAATTTTTATTTACCCGTTATACAATAGGCATAAATTTTTTGTTTCAAATGCCAATTGAAATTGAAATGAAGTTTTTTGTGAAAGTGAAATACTGTAATACTACGACATTTTTAACCTAGCCGAAAAATTTGATACTGAGTCATAGCAAGAAAGTGTAATAATCACCTCATCAAAGTCAGCTATAATCTCGTTCAAGAGCCTGAGACACTCCATGCCCTGGTTGTTGCCGTCCAGCTCCATGTAGAACTCGTGGTAGTTGGTGATGGAGGCGAACACGACGCCGACTCTCTGGTACGACTGGTGGTACAGGTCCTGCCAACCGCGCCTCTGACGTCACACAGCGTTCGGGGCGTGCGCAAGCCATGCCACACACGTTAGGGAACAGTGACAGTATGACGCGACCGAGTTCATCTACTAGATTTTAATATTCATTCTAACTACCACTAACTTTTTAATGTTGGACTATTGCTACCGTCAGGATGGCAGCCCTTAGATGCCTGTTTCGACAAAATATTTAGAAACGCACTTAAGGCAAAGCTGAGGTAAACAGAAATAGTAGAATGAGAGTTACTTGTTCTAAAAAAACTCCTGCTATAATTAGGTATTCTCAATAAATATACATACTAGAACATGGAATATCATAACTAATTTGATAAACCAAGTCAGAAAATTTGAGGTGGGCTTTCATCTTTTATACTCTGTCACTAGATCCCATTAGTGCATTGTGCAATACAAAAGCATTGTGAGTGAATGTTGTTAGAACACAAGACAAATGAATTGAAATTAGCGAATAGTGTTAACTGATGAATGGCAATTTAGTGTGAAAATATGAACATTGTAATATTAGTTCTGAAAACAGTTACATGCATTTGCAACATCAATGAAGCTGGAAAACATTTAAAACATTTCTTATCAGCGTCTTACACGCTCTCATTGCATACCGCTACAGCAATAATATTTTTTTTTTTTTAAATTAGATTTTTCATTATTATTTGTTTATTTAGAAAAATTTAAGCTAAAGCAATAAAAAAGCCTTATATTTACTGTTGCCCTAATCCCTATAACATATTAAAATACTTAGAAAAATAATTTTCCCTTGCGTGAGCTACTTGATGAGAGTGTAATCGTGGTAGTAAGTGATGGAGGCGAACACGACGCCTTATTGCCTAATGACACTAAGTTAATTATTCTTTTTAACCGACTTCAAAAAAAGGAGGAGGTTCTCAATTCGACTGTATTTTTTTTTTTTTTTTTTGTATATTTGTTACGCGATTACTCCGGCAATTATAAACCGATTTGAATAATTCTTTTTTTATTTGGTAGGTCATACGTCAGAGGTGGTCCCATTGTCACCAGGTCAGGATCTGATGATGGGATCCTGGGGAAATCGAGGGAAACCCTCAAATTTTGTAGGCATATACACTGTTTATCAGAAATTATCTTAATCTATGTAGATTTTTGCATCTAATGGTCACCATCTGATGTTGCTGAGCTGATGATGAAGCTGATGATGAATGGTTTAGGAGTATGGGATCTCTGTAACAAAATTATGTAATACCATCGAATTTGAATGTGTTTGAGTCTAATTAATAAGGACTCCGATCCTATGTGATATTCAGGGTCTGATGATGGAGACGGTAAATAGCCATGGGAACTCTGTAATAAAATAAAGCAATTCCGCCGTGTTTGTGCTCATTTGATTCGTCTCGACTAGGAGCTTCATGCTAGTCGATTTTTAACCAACATCAAAAAAGGAGGGTTTTTGATTCGACAGTATGTTTTCTTTTTAACCGACTTCTAAAACACAAAAGAGGAGGTTCTCAATTCGTCTGTATTTTTTTTTTAATGTATGTTTCTTACGCGATTTCTCCGTCAATTGTGAACCGATTTTCAAAATTCTTTTTGTAATCGAAAGGGTATGCTCCCGAATTGGTCCCATTACCACCAATTCAGGATCTGATGATGGGATCCTAGAGAAATCGAGGGAAACCCTCACAATTATTGGGAATTTGACAGCCCCGATAACGTGTTTTAGCTACGAGTATTTCTTTAAAACCATGGCAACCGTCAGAGACTGCGCGATGTGATGCGCAGAGAACTTACAGTATTTATGTCACCACAGTAATTTTCGTTGTATTAATAAGAAGAAAAGGTTGAAATTTTGTATTTTATCTTGTTAAAATAATTCGGATAGACGTTTTGTTGCTATGGATGGCATCGCATTTCGTTTGTAAGTAATTTTATACTTAATTTATTAAAATAGTTCTGGAAAAAACTCTTAAATTTTGTGTGAGTCAACTAGGTTAATTTCTAACATACCAGTATTAACCCTTCTAGTTGGAACTCCTTCTATAAAATATTGAGCATATTTGTTGAGTAGTCTCACTAAAGCTTCCCTATCTTCACCTTCGAGGTCAGTGTCAATTGAATCGGAAGTTATTTTGTTCGGTTGCAACTCACAAGAATTTGACTGTTTCTTAGAAAAGAATTTAAGCTGATCTTGATCAGTTTGGACGCCAATGTAGGAGAGGCCTATGTCCAGCAGTAATTTATTATAATATTTAATATAATCTAACAAACTACAGTTTGTTACTATACATTACGGTACGTAGTGTTTTAAATATCGTACTTATCTACTCATTACAAACATATCCTACACTAAAAATGGTAAAATAAACCCTTTTAAAAAAAAAGTTGAACCGACTTCAAAAAACACCGACAATGAGCACTAAAAATTAAAAAATAATTACAAATCTAAGTAAAAAAACTATAATAAGTACCCTCAATGTAACAGGAACATTACAATACCAATAGTCCCTTCTAGTCTGTTTGAAGTCGGTGCCAAGCTCGATGCACAATAAGTAATACTGGTCTATGTCAGCTTTATATTAGCACAATGAAAAATTAAGAATTCAAAATAATTCTAATGAAACATCGAAGATTTTGTTAATTAATAAAGACCAACCAGATCAATTACGTGCGCAAACGTATCAACTCCTTACTAAAGCATTCAAAATAATAATATAATTGGAGATGTGCGTCCACTTTAGCTCGTTCAACATGTTTTGCGCAGCATGAAGACTGTTGCAGCTGCCGCGCTACATTCTATCAAGCACCTATTTGGCTTGGCACCGACTTCAAACCGACTAGAAGGGACTATTGGTATTGTAATGTTCCTGTTACATTGAGGGTACTTATTTTAGTTTTTTACTTAGATTTGTAATTATTTTTTAATTTTTAGTGCTCTTTGTCGGTGTTTTTTGAAGTCGGTTTTAACTTTTTTTTTAAAAGGGTTTATTTCTTATTCGGGTTCGCACACTCTAACCGTTATCATGTACTTAATACGTTACTAATCTTAAAAGTCAGCCAAGCGCCTCTCCGCCTCCTCGGATTCTTTGCAACACTAACCATAACTAGTCCCTTCTAATATTATAAATGCAAAAGTGGGTATGTCTGTCTGTTATCTCTTACCTCTTAAACCGATGAACCGATTTAGATGAAATTTTAGTATAGAGATAGTTTGCTACTTTTTACCGAGATAAACAATATACACGCGGAGCCGCGGGCAAATGCTAGTATGCTTTAATAATTTCAAAACTATATATTATGTAAATAAATGCAAAATAAATCAATTCTAAGTCCGTCCGACAGTTCCATCTAAATAATTTGCTTATTTTCTTTTGAATGATTGCGCAGAGGTTTGCCATCAAGTATGAAAATCCTTTAACTATTACCCTTCTCGTGTTATATTCATACCTACACGTTTTTCTCCTGTTTGCGTTTTCTTTACTTTTTTTTCTATATCTTCAGATCTAATGGCACTTGATTTGACGTTTCACTATTTTTTCATGATTGCCCACTTTTTAATTAAATTATGTAATGGTGTATTTTAATGAAGTAGCGATAATTATGAGTAAGCATTGTCAATATTTACCATATTCGTTCTAAATTGGTTGTCCAAGAAATGTGTTGCAACGTGTGCTGGTAACAGATTAAAGAGTATTCTTCTGTTCGATGCCTGAAAATAATAGTTTAGATATTTACTATAGATACATGATAAAGCACATAACTGGCCGAGGGTAATCAATCAAACGACTTTAGTGTGTACATATTTCAAATTCAATATTTCTTATAAAATTTACTTGAGCCTTCTAAAAAAAATTTAGTGGGAGTAATTTAAGGATAGGCATTTAGATTAACTAATTTATAAAACTTTTTTTTTTAAATTTGTTTTAAAGATAAAATGTATAGAAGTGTGCGTGCACGTGTGTGAGGTATTAGATTACCTGCAGAGCGTCCATGTCTCTTTTTTCATCTCGGGCTTGCGCTTGCCACAAGAAGTCCAATCTTGCCGTCCACTCCGTCTGTCGCGCATGTAATAATACAGCTAATGCCAAAGCTACTGTCCAAGCACTTGCTACGTAAGCCGATCCCACTACACCAGAGCTGAAAATAAATTTTATCAATGAAATAATAGTTATTTTGTATTCGGACAATCTACATTTAGTTTATATACCTATATATCGATGACATTTTTAGAATAAACAACTAAAAAGCCAAATGAAAAACAGTTTTATAAATCTTTCTCAGGCGAAAATCTACTTAAAAATGATTACAGACGAGTTTATATGAAGTCATTAAGAAACAATCTGTTTTTCAAAAGTATGTAGTAGTAGTAATTTCATTATGATGACTTGGTTTTCTAGATAAATATTTATCTCAGATATTAGACCTGCTTGCGGTTCCCTACATTTTACATGAAAAAAAAACGATATACGTATACGTACTGTTATTTGGCGAACAATATAGAATTATCTACCTATCTGCACCAAATAGGATTAAGTGTCAATAGTTTCCATTAGCCACCATCCTCAGCTGGGTCTTAATCCTCTTAGGAGCTTAGGACTAAAAAGGTTTCATTATTTTCGAATTTTCGCATGCTATTGACAAAATAATTACGAACTATAAATGTCAACCGTTTATTAAAATTACTTGTTTACTACTACTACTAGACATGAATAATAAAACGTATTTACTTGCACTAAATGTTTTACTCGGTTCGTACATACTCGTACTTGGAAGGTAGGACATTTTCGTATTGCAAGAATTACTTTAAAAACTTTTAAATTTTAATTCCTCTTATCTCTAAGTAATAAAATAACTATATCAAGGCACTCACTCAGTCATAACATCGTAGCAATCGAAAAGGTCCTTATGGTATCCGAGCATAACTGCCATATATCCAGCTGTCATGACAGACAGAAGAATGCCCTTAACCAGTATAGGCAACCTCAGAAACGCGGCCACTACCAACATGCTGAGGCAACAGCCGAGCGTGATGTACAAGGGGATTGGGCACGCCAAGTGTTCGGTACTGCTCCATAACTTTTCGGCTATTTCACCAGTCACGGCTCGGATACTTTCTATCGTTGTTGTGTTGCCTGTTAGATTCGCGCACATTTCCATTTTATGGCAGGTAACCTGTAAGTGATTTAATACGTATTAGTAATAAAAAAACTTATTTCGTATAATATCACAATAGGATTTATAGGTCTTTACTTATGAAGTTGGGGATTTTTAAAACCAGCATTTTCAAATTGAATTATGAAACATTAACGATGTGCACGGGTCTAATACTGCTTGCATAAATACGATCCATTATTGATTTTAGATCCGGAAATTTTGAGTTGTAGAACGAGCCTTGCGGTCGGCCGGTAGCTATAGTCGACAGCGACGAGATGAAGGCGATAGTGGAAGTGACAGATCCAACTCAATCTACGGCTGAGCTTGCTGCGGGCTTTGAAGTTAATATCAAAACAACATAAAAGCAATTACGTCAAATGCGAAAGATATAAAAACTAGGTAAATGAGTGCCACATACACTAAGCGACCATCAGCGAGACTTACGGTCGAAGCATGCATAGACTACTGAATCGGCATAGAAACGAGGGAATTCTGAATCGAATTGTTCCCTGCGATGAAAAGTGGATCGTTAGCGTCCGTGTCAGTGGATGAACACGTGTATAGCACCTAATCAGTGCGCTAAAACAAAGATTGCCGATAGGAAGATGATGGTGACTGTTTGGTGGAATAGTACCAAACTTGTACGTCACAGCTTCTCACCGAATGGCACAACAGTGAGATGTCTATTGCCAAGAATTGCAAACAATGATGGAGAAGCTCGCTATTTAACAACCACGACTGGTCAATTGCTCTTCCCCATTGCTTTCCCAAAACAACGCGTAAGCTTACACTTCATGACAGCCCATCGCAAAGCTACAAGAGTTACAGCTGGAAGCTCTCCAGCACCTACCAATCTCAATGGACTTTGCTCTAATAGATTTCTACTTAAAAAAAAAATAGGGAAAAAATTCAACACCTGAGAGACAGTGCAAAACGCTTTTCCTGACTTCATCGCCTTCTAGCCAGCAGATTTCTACAGTAAATGAATAAATAAACTGCCTTCAAAATGGCAAAATTGAATAGATAATTTGGGCCAGTACTTTAATTAGCTAAAATAAAGACATAACCAACATTTTTATATTTTAAAATTTTCCTGCAAATCTCCAATTTCATAGGTAGACCTAATATAATAGCTTAAAAGGGTAGCCAACACTAGGTGTGACTTTGTCGTATAGACTTAATTCTATAAAGTTATCAAGAAAGGAAGATCATTTTAAACAACAAAATAGATTATTACTACCTTTGGAAGAAAGACAGCTTTTGCAATGTTTACTACAGACGATTTGTTGAAGAAAACTGAGCTATGGTTTATACTGATTCATATACATGTGCTACAACACAATATATATATATATATATTCAAAATAGTAACTTACCACATTTACTTGACCAACAGCATATCCCAGCACAATCGTGAAGGTTGTAATCGCATTCCTCAACGTAAACGGTCTAGACACATCACAAGGAATCAGTCTCAATCTTGCTGCCAAAGTCAACGCTAAAACTGCAGCTGACCATGCAAAAGCCGTTACAAATAGGAGTAAGAGAATAAGTGTCTGTGGCAGTACTGAAGCTTGAAGTGCGCCGGCAGTACCTAAGGCGAATAAAGCTGCACCTAAAGACCCCACCCAGCCACCGTCTGTTGATGCACGATACTGAAAGAGATGACGAATTGAAACGTAATACAAATAAAACATAAAAGTTTAAATGCTTCGGCATTTTATAATTTCTAAATAAATTACATTTGGCTCTAATCCTAGAACCTCACCTGTGCTTCTTTATCAGCATCTTTAAAGCAAAGTGTGAGTAAGTGGACATGCGTCGCCTTTTCTCGATGCACGGAGCGCGCATCGATAGCCTGTGCTAGGTACTTGTTGACGCGGTTGGTAGGCTGGTGGTACACAGACGAGTGACGTTTTTTCAGCGGCCGCTTAAATTTCTCCGTCACTTTGTTCTGTAAACACACAATAAACATTCATTCTCCTGTACAAAAAGCTCATTATTATAAGGTGATCTAAATCGGTCTATACAACAATTATAATGGATAACACATAGCTGTTCTTTATATTGAGGACAGAAGGAGGTTTATTAAAAGGACTCAGAGGTTCTGACGGCTGAAGTCAATTTACACTGTGGTCAAGGTCAAGGTACACTGAGGTCCATGCCGACTCCATGCTTCACAATTTGGAAGTTAGAACTGACCTTAGAATACAAAAGTTCCGGAATCCGAAGCAGCATCGCATTATTAGAATAGTAATGAAATGAAATATAAACAAGACATAGAAATACTTGAAAATATAGAAATACTTTTTCGTTTACGTATATGGCAATATTTAAATAAATTTACAAGAATTTAGTTTCATAAAATTGACAGCAGTAATTAAGCCTTAAAACTATTAGTTTTGTGTTTGATTATTTCTGAAAATAAACCTTAGAGAAGTTAAGATAGTTATGTGATAGAAATAATCAAGCACCAAATAAAATTAAGTGTGACTGATAAAAAGAAGGAAATAGCGTCATGCAAGTAAGTCGACAGTCGGGGCCATGCCATGCTTGTAGTGCGGAGGTGACTATTCTCGGGGTAGCAGTGAAACACAGTTCGGTGCGTCCGGCTTTATTATCGAATAACATTGTATATAACAATCTCAAGTATATAAAACTTTGACAATTTTGAAGTAAGAGACAGTGATAGTGAGTGGTCGTGTGTTCACGTTAATATTAGCTTGAGGTTCCCTCTCCCTCTAGTCAGTTCACGGTGAACACAAAGAAAATAGTGAACTTATACGCGATAAGTGCGCCCCACAGATATTACTTGTGTTGAATTGCGTTACCTACAGTCAATTTAAGGGAATTATACGTGTCGTCCGGTAAATGGTGGAAAACAATAATACACATGAACAACACTTTGTCTGCGCTTACTGTTTCAGCGGGTATTTGTTGTGGAACTAATGTCCAAGGTCGGAATATCTGAAAAATAATGAGCAGACGTCTCATATTAGTCGCTGGTGTATTTCAGTCTTCCACGCAAAGTTCAGTTTATATTGTATAAAATAAACATAAAAAATAGATTATATGAACTTAACAAATATGAAAGTGAAAGTCAAAGTTCCTACAATTTCTACCAGTATACTATTATTTTTCAGTTAATTTTGACCAGCTTATAACAATGCGTGGAGGCTTGAACAAAACAGCAACTAAAATGAACAGGGAACTATTGTATGTGAGGAAATGTGTTTGTGCGTAGATACGGTTAGAAATTTATGTCTCGATTTCAATATGTCAGGGGAATATATGATAAACTGTGTTTGCATATTTTTTGTTGTTTACATATACTTAATAATGAAGTTTTGTAGAAATGAAAATTGTAAATGTAGTGCGAAGCATTTTTAAACATTCTTCCAAGCTCCTCGCGAAACTGTTTCGTGAGAACTTGTAAAAAGCTTCAGTGCACATCTCATGTAATAAAAAGCAGCATAGATTTAGTTCGAAACCACCACTCAAAACCAAACTAACTACTAGGAAACCATTAAGCGAGGTTATCATTCGACACACAGTGTAGCGACACGCATCGGCGACAGTGTATAGATGCGCGTTATTTATCTCATATTTCAAGCGGTGAGATCTGAGAACCGCGGGTGAGATAGCAATATGGTTGCTTTTGATACACCTAAACCTATGAACCATTTACTAGATCAGCCCTAAAGTCTGAAGCACGTGCACATCGCTACGGGAGGTCTTATAAGATAAGACCACCATCATGTAGCTAAGAACGCGTTGTTCATTTACTACTTATACGCACTATGTATGCAAATCATCTGTGCCTGATTAGTTTAGCGTTTCCGTTCGCAAGAAAATCGATGCAAACTCCTAAATAGCACAGGTCAAACAAAGGTGCGTATGCATATTATTAACATGTGTGGTCGTGTCGACCGTGGTGTGTGTGCGGAGGGCGTGGTGCTGCATGACGGCGTCGAAGGTGTGATGGTGCGGGGCTGTGGCAGGGGTAGGCGGGGCAGCGGGTGCTGGCGCCTGCATCGCGGCTCTCACGTCTTCAGCCCGTAGCGCCGCCAGCCGCATCGCCTCCGCCGAGCCGGGCTCCGCGTGCAGCGCGCGTCGGAGATCCATCACCTGCCAGGCACACGCGCCGAGGTCAGACCAACCCGAGCGGGCCTCGGGCACTACGCTCGCCAAGCTTTAGCCCACTCATGTACACAGTAACTACAGGCTCGCGCGATCGAGGCACGACAGGTAGCGTTAGGTGGTCCTAAGTGTAAATTTTAGGAGGTAATAAAAACGGATTTTGAGGTCAATAGCCAAACAGATAGAGTCTTTTTGGGACTAGTGGACTATTGTTATATAGCTTTCTAAAATTAGGTCCTCTCGCATAATTGGAAAAGTAAAATATACTAGGGAGAGGTACAAATTTGATTAATTCCTACATTCTCTATTTACAACTCGCTTTTTGTCGTCCCTCCTCACGCATTTTTCATTTGTCGTAACTGACACACGATTCGAGGTAGCATTAAACAGCAGTCATATATTTCTAGCTACTCCATTTAAGAACGACATTTATAATAACCTGGAATCACCAACATTTCTTATATCACATTCAGAGCACATTAAGAAATTATAGAAAAAAGTATTAAATTATATGCACAAAAATAATAGAACTTACCTTTGCATGTGAAGAGTAGACCATCGATACGAGAAATGATATCACTCGAGACAAACATTCTGAAGAGCGAGATAAAGCCGCGGACATTGAACTCGTATTATTTAGCCATGTCCGCAAGGGTGCAAAACTTTTGCAAAAAGTCAAAAGTGCAAATAGTAATTTCAACTTTTTTATAATGAATAAAATATCGCAAAAAACCTCTTAAAGATTGATAAACACGAAAATCGGATGCGCACTTTCATGCTGCTTTTCCTTTAACATTTGCGTGGCGGGCGCAAATGATTTTCGTTACATGAGAGGAACTGTTTCGTAAAAACTTTTACTCGTTCTCAAGGAGTTTGTCATACGCAAAGTACCTTCCTAGCGGCATTGGCCTTGAGCTCCTGAGGGGAGGCGGCCATGTTGGAGAAGGGAACGTCCACGTTGAATTTGATGGAGTGTAGCAGTTGTACCACTACATTGGATACGTTTTTGAACGACAGTTTCCGTCGCGATGCTGAACCTAGGCTCACGCCTGCTGACAGACACATCTGCGAAAATATTTATTAACATAATTATATACCCTATAGTACGAGTACTTATTGAAATTTGAATTACGCACGTAAATATAAATGTATTAATTGCTTAAGTTATAAATTCATAAAATTCATGTAGAAATTGATGTAAAAATATGAGCACAACGGGATTCGGACTAAACGAATCTCTGTAATTTATTGGAAAATATTTGTTAAGTATTTATTATTCATTTTTCTTTAAAACGTACTTTTCTCCTTCTGGGCGGTGGGATAATAAAGTACGTCTGTATGGAGTGGTCCCTGAGGTACGCGTTGCGACTGGCTCCATGGCCTGGTTCCACCTCGTATGCGCCGCCGAGACATTCAAGTGTCGCCTGCGTTATATGTACACGGCTGAAAAATAGTTACAAAATATTCCATATTTTATACAGCAACATTGGTGACAGTCTTTTAATTTAGGGGTTTATAAAATTGAGGTCGGAATTCATCTATCAGAAAATGTTCTTAAATCCAGTTTTATTCCGCGTAAGCTTACCCAGGTTCGCCTCCAGCCTCCATGTTGTTAGCTAGCGTGACGTCATTAGACCATACATCGTATTGCCATTTGCGCAGCCCCAATACCCCACATAATACTCGGCCTGTATGGATGCCCACACGCATATTTAGCTGCACGTCTGTTGCTTCCACCACCGACCTAGGAAACAAGTTCAATATTCATCAACTATCAACTAGTAGAGCAGAGCTCGAAAACACAGTTACGGGTTAGCTAAACCCTCATCAGTCGAATAACTTTACTAAAGGCATATTGAAATATTTACTTGAAAATTTGGTTATGAAAAAGTTGTTCAGAACTTTCCAGCGCTTATTGTAAACCATATTTTCTTAAAGTTTCTAAGTCGATACTTCGAAATACCAAACGCAAATAATAACTTCCCTAAGAGAAAATTAATCTTTCATTTCTAAGTTGTATTAAGCCGTGTAATGAATACGTAATTATTCGAACATTGAATATTACATGACTGGAAACATATAACAATCAAAGTCAAATCTCAGTGGTAGGTATAATATTAAATTTACAACCAATTCTTCCAATTCTGGGTTATACTCGTAGACATAAAAGATGACAGATGAATGGATAATTGTTTCTGTGGTTTAGGAAACCCGACGTGAGTAGTGAAAATGTGTATAAATAGAAATTACCGTTTGTATAGCACCACAAAATAATCAGATGGTTTAATTTACAAAATACTTAATTATATATTTACGATATACAAAGTAAAGTCCAGTAGTTGATAGTTTAAAATGTGAAATTTAGATTGGCAGTAAAATTCAAAATGAATAAATTGAATAATTCTACATTTTTAATTTCGATCGGCACTGTACTGAAAGTAAGGCCTTGTTAAGAGCATCCGCAACCGGCAAGCATGTATGAAAAACTTCAATGTTTCAAAGCTGAATGATCGTGGCAAATGTGGCAAATCCCCGGACGGGAATGAGGCGTAAATATATTTACGTAAATTCCATAACTATCACCGCCCAAACCATTTTTGTATATAATCACTAGCTGACCCGGCAAACGTTGTTTTGCCATACACATTATTTCTAAAAAAAATAGGGGTGGGTCGCCCTTCTTATTGAGGGGTATGAAAAATAAATGTTGGCCGATTCTCAGACCTACCCAATGTGCACACAAAATTTAAAAAAAATCGGTCCAGCCGTTTCGGAGGAGTATGGTAACTAACATTGTGACACGAGAGTTTTATATATAAGATAGTAGTAAAGCGATATATGACTATTAAAATCAAGTTTGTTAGAGATGATTTAATTAATTTAAATTTCACCTCGCTGACAGTGCTAATTCTATAACTGTTGCTTTACAAGTAGAAAAAAAACTTTATACACACTTTAGATGATGACTGAAATCATTTTTGTAAACTTAACCGTGACATCGATTTATCTTTTTGTTAGAAATATACGTTTGGAAACCGCCTGGCTAAACAGAACTTGAGTTAAAAAATAATATATTAGCTTAAGCTTCGATTTTCAATACTATTATCTCAATCTGTACATAGTATAAAATGAAGTCGTTTTGTTACTCGTACGCTTAAATCTGTAAAATGAGAGTGATTCAAGAGGCGGGTTTGTATGTAGAATACATGCTTATAATGTAATACGAGAATTTCAAATATTTGTCGTTTAGCCCAATAAAAATTCATGTCTGATTTAGTCCAAAAAATAATTTTAAGTTTTTAGCTAGCCGTGCGAGGACAGCTGGTAACTAATAAAATTAAGTGAAATTATCAACATAAACAAGTAGCCTATTTAACTAGTCGACTTTTAAAATCAAACAATAATTGCGATATTCGTAATATAAATTATAATAAATTAGGAAGATATTTTAGTTTGTACCTCATAGCCAAGGTAAGTAAAAGAGGAATGGCAATAAACTTGGCACTGTTGCCTACGCGCCGGTGAATCTAACCGAATTCCAAATAAAAATGTTCAGATGTAAACATAGCTCATGGACTAGAATCGCTTCAACACTTTTTTTTTATTACACTGGAATTAAATGCATTCTTTCCTACTAGATTTACATTTCTATAGTGTACCGTATGACCAGTTTGGAAAAGATTGGAGACGACACTGCCAGAATTGCATTCGAGAAAATTAGTTAGTACCTTTGCCCAGTAAAGGGATAGACCTTTTCTATTGTCATCAGTGGTACCATTAGTCAAGGCCGTCTTAACCTATGCAGGGGCCTCTGGGCACACAAAAACTTGGAGCGCTGTTAGACAGCAAAACTTTAGCTGAGAAAATGAGCACTCACCACTACAATAGGTAACCATAACATTTAAGAAAAGTTTCTGCAAATGTATCAGGCTTTACTTATTACTTTATCTAAGTTTGAGCCACTTAAATCTATTGATTCCTTAAATACTTCCTTAAATGAAAATATTCTCTTTTAAGCTCATGAAAGAATTCTATTACAAAGACCTTAATGCAAATTAAGGTCTTTGTAATAGAATTCTTTAAATTCATGGCATTTTTTAATCAACTCGTCAGAATCGATTGTTGTTAATTCAGAAATAACACTAAAACGATTGCTAATTTCTAAATATGCTGGCAAAAGATTTTTCGATTGTGCATATAATGTATCGATAAACGTATCGATAACAAAAATAACAATATTTCTGTATTAAACTCTACCATCTGTAAAAATCTGAAAAATCAATAAACTCGTAACAAATGAACATTAAAATAAAATAACTCGTATTTATAGACATAGTTAAAAATTATAGGAACGATTTTAAAAATATAAAATGGGTATATTTAATTGGCAAATTAATTATTTAAAGTAACAAAAACCCCAAACACGTGAAATTTGTATACTTAAAATTGTAGACATTGGTGAAACTCTACTTGCAAGATAAAGACCAATCAATTGACGTAAAAATCAACAAAATCGGCCTACGCGTTTGGTCACACACAAGTGCCACAGATGAACAAACGTACAAAGAGTGATGAACCCACTCTTGCGCCGTGCAGTCGAGTAATAATTCATTTTAAATAGATACATTAATTTTAGCCATAGTTAATTACCATCATCGTCTTCATTTTTGGCGATTTCTTAAATTTTCTTATTGTTAATAATTTCATGTACTTATTAGGTTTTAGTAATCTTCCAAATAAAGTATAAGGCTTTTTGTTTTTAATTATAAAATACTGCTAATTCACTTCAAATTTTTGTTGGTACTATATATACGACGTCATAAAACCGTGCCAGATTCATATTTTACATTTAAAATTCTATGTTTCTTTTACGGGTCTATTAATGACACTCAATTAAAAGCATTAATAATGATGCTGGAGTCGAGAGTTCTGTCCTAGATTCACGTAATGAGGTATCTACTCCTCTCGTTTACGGTTACAAGATCTTGGTAATTTTCCTAGAATTATTTTTATTGTTATAGTTAGCTTCGAAGCGTCGTAAATGAAATTATTCTGTTTACTGTTTTTGTTTTTTCTGTTGCAGTAGTGTTGTTTTTGCAGATGAACTTATGCGACACAATGATATAGTGATTGACTAATTGGTGAGTTAAGTGTGAATTTTATTGAAGGAAATTCAAATGGTTTCCGCATTGTTATCTTATTTCTCGGTTCGACTGGATATCTAAAATATTTGAAACATTTCTAAAGATCTTATCAACAGTAATATATTGGAAAGTAAAGTTTCACATTATCGTACCATCGGTCAAATAGATTGAATTTGTGGCGTATAGTATAGAAAAAAAAGAACAGAAATTGAAAGGATACTTGAAAGTTGTTAATTGAACTTTATTGTATTTTTTTAAATATAGTCTAACTATATAATAACAAGTGGGTGTCGTAAGAGGCGACTAAGGGTGCAAAACAACGAAGGACAGCAGCACTGCAAAAAGAAGGAAAACTTGATACAATCCCTATACCAACCCGTCTGGCCAGCGTGGTATAGTAGGCCAAAACCTCCTTTCTAAAGAGAGGCCTATGTCCAGCAGTGGATTATTAAAGGCTGTTGATGTGATTTGATGATATAATAACTGCTTAATATAGTAAGTGATGGGTTTAATATTGTAGCAATTTTGATCTACAAAGATACACGTGCTCCAAATTTTTTAACCCATTTATAAATAATTAAAATCTCTTCGTAGATACATTAAGCCGAACATAGTACAATACTGTGTGTGCCACATTCAATATTTCCTTTGTTCTTTAGTACAAAAACGTCGTTGATTGGTTAAATTACAAAAAGAGTGTATTAGAAGCCTGTAGAATTATACTTTGTTACAATTCCGTTCATATCATTATTTTATTTTAACACAAAGTGTAAGTAACTAAAAGTAGATTAAAGTGACCTTTTTTCATTATACAGATGGATATTTTAAACGAATTATTGCGCAATTTCTGTATATAATTTAATAAAGAGTGTCAGACAGCCAACAGTAAAGGGTCATATTTTTTCATTAATTTAGGATAGGCGCCGCACCGAATACGACATTTAGAAACGGCTTTACCAAATATTGCAGCGGAAGGTTTATATTACTGAATACCACTATATAAGAAAGGGTTTAAAGGGTAACTCTTTGTAATATACAAATATGTTGTCATCATGAACAAGTTTTAATATTTAACGGTATATCATACTATCAAGCACTGATGTATAGTCGGTTGGCAGGTCTTTGTGTTTTATTTAAAGCCGTGTAATCCTTGTTTGTGATTTTTGTTTTTAACTTTAGAAATATCATGCAAGAAGCATTAAAATATCCGAGCTACTTCAAGAAAAAAATTACTAAAATTCCTTAACCCGTTTCGAATTGTGTGGAAGTATAAAATCATATAGGGTTTCATACTATTTATATAATAGTAATAATAGCATCCTGCTGAACTCTTTACTTAAAAAGATTATTTAACTTGCTGTGCTTTACCATTTTTTGTGCATCCATCCAATCATTTAGATATTATGTAATAAATACTAATAGTGAGTCAACTCCTTTGAGTCTATCAAAGGAGTAACTACGTTGAATGACCTACATGCCTGTCACGACTAAAAATGTGCAACGACAAAAACGATCACGATTGTAGGTAGAAATAGTAGGTACTCGTACTTGGCGTATTTAACATATTTTACAGCACTAAACGGCAGTATCTCGAGTTCCT